TGGCTTCACTGTAGAGAGACTTGTAAGGACATTTAAAGCTTTTTAGTTGGCCTTCAAACAGATTTTGGCCTTTTCACCGTCACTCAGAGAGGAGAGGTTATTAAAAAGCTATAAACGCAGCTTATTTGAAGTGCTTGTTCATATAACCCATAGTGACATTTTTATGGAAGGGGCAGGTCTCACTTCTTCATTCTGTCTAGAAAAAAGGTTACGTTACTAACTCACATAATTTCCCCTGCTAATTCCATTCCAGTTCTAGTAGCTTGAGTCTTTCTCCTTTTTGTTTTGTGGATTTGTGTCCATCTGTCTGTGTAATTAAGACAAATTACTCTGTCCATTCGATCCCGGAAACATGTGCCACTACTCATTTGTCGATCAGTCTTTCAGTGACAATCAATTCCTTGCATAATCTGCTTCCCTTTTGTTTTACTGTCTCTCATGATTCCTTTATTCCACTCCTAGTCATGCTTTAAATTGTGAAAAATTATCAGCGTTTGGCCTCTCCTTTGTATGAGGAAATTGCTGTCTCTGAGACGTGTGCTTGTAACTAACTCAAATAGAAGTAGTTTAGAGAGAAGCTGAGCGTTGTCCCTGATTGAACATTACGCATCTTTCAATCAAAAGAAAGACTTTAGTTGTCTCATGTTTTATGTAGCCTTTAAGAACACTTCTCATCAATCTCTGAAACTCACCATGAGACTTTGTGATTATCACTCAGGGGCACTTCACCTTTGCACCTGCATGGACTCTTGGAGTGTCGTTGAAACTCTTTATAGTTTGAATAAAACATTTAGATGATTTCACTGCGTTTTTTTAAGACACTGAAGTATCAAAAAAATGCTACCCAAACTTAAATATTGGTACCTGTTTAGGGTATTGAGGCTTTTTTTAGGAGAATTTGTAAAAATGCTGGTATAGGTACCGGTATCAGGACACCACTAATTTTGAGTATATCAGAGTGACAGTTCAGGTTGAGTGGTTTTGAGACTAAGTTAGAAAGGCAAGACTAAGCTAGTTTGGACATGTGCAGAGGAGGGTTGATAGCTAATGGAGCTGCCAGGGAGGAGGAAAAGAAAGGACCACAGAGAAGGTTCATGGATGCAGTGGAGGAGGATGTGCAGAGGGTCAGTGTGAGAGAGGAGAGAGCGATAGCTGGCAGACCTTGGATTTTCAACTCTCACCTGTAACGACATTTTGAGCTTTCTAACCATTAGACCACAGGTGGTGAGAATGGAAGAAAAGGTTTCTCATAAACCTGCAGTCAGCACAGGAACATCTCAGGACTGCTGCCTCAGCCTGAAATTCTTTACCTCAAAGCTGTCACACACACTGTGATGTAACTAGGGATGTCCCAATACCACTTTTTCACTTCCGATACGATACCGATATTACAACTTTGAGAATTGTCCGATACCGATATTGACCGATAACGATATTGACCCGTTACCATAACAGTACAAGTCACACACTTTTGCCTATTTTGTAGTGTAAAATCTTAGAAAAGCCTTGATCAAGTTAAACAGTGAAAAAGAGTAGGTATGAGAAAAACTGACCCATTTATTTTTAACCAATGGATCACATACATTTTAAAATGAAGAACATTCTACAATTTAATAAAATTAATAATAATACCCTGAAAAATAAAACATAATAAAAACAAAATGTTCTTTTAAAGTATAAAATAATTCAAAATCACTTTGGTTGTTGTTTTACTACCTGTCAGCCTGGTGCTGCTTTATGGTGGGAATAACTGAAGGTGGGGACAAAACAAAACCCCACATTATTGTCTGTTCAAAGTTAAGAGTCCACAGCTCCAATTTTACTGACTGTAACCAAAACAACGTGATCATTGCACTTAATCTTCACTCAAACAAGTGTGTAAACAAATTAAACATCACTCTAATAACAAGAGCAAAAAATAAATAGTAAGAATTAGTCAGTTATTTAAATTGATAGCTACCTTTCTAACTGCTGTATTTTCTGAGCATCATGTGGAGATCAGCCTCTCTCTCCTGCAGGGAGCAGTTTTTATCACTGCTCTCGTCATGTCGCTCATATTTCCAAACAAAAGCTGCGCTCTCCTTTCGTCTCTCCATCAAGAGCTAATCCACGGGATGTCAAAACTGTAAACGTGCAGTCCTCGCTTCTGCCAGCTTAGAACCACCGACCGGACCAGAGAGGAGGTTCCGAAACAGCGTGGCTGTGTGCGGTCACTGGACCGAGGCTGAACGAACCGAGCCGAAACGCAAAGCTGCTGCCAGCGTGGAGAGTAGTTGTCGCTCCGGTTTAAAACGTACACGGTTCTGTGTTCCCCCTCAGAAAACTTGTGCGTGACAACTTTGCACTTAGCTTCAACTCTGTTTCTGATGAAAATAGAAAGTTCTGCCGACATTCTTGCTAACTTGTTAGCGCTGCATGTTGTTGTGATCACGTGAGCGCTACATGCTGAATCCAAGCGCTGCTGGATAGAAACACTGGAGCGGAGTCAGTGAACTGCTGGAACGGACTGCTAATATCGGAGCGCTTATATCGGACATTTTTTATGCAGGCCGATAAAATCCGATACTCATTTTTTGGCCGATATCGGACCGATATCCGATATCAATATCGGATCGGGACACCCCTAGATGTTACAAATTGTAAAGGACAGACTGAATGATTTAAAAGTCAGCTGATGCATTTATACCATCACCAGCAGCAGCAAGCTGGCTGTTCTATGTCACACTGAAGAATCACAGACCTCTTGAAGGAAATTTTGTAACTAATTAAATGTTAGAAACAGTTTTGTATTTTATACTTTCTGATTATTTCAGCCTGTAAATTTAAAAAGAGTTGGTGTGTGTCTTATCATGTGTTCTTTCTTTAGTCTAAACAAAAATGAGTTACGTTCTGACACCTGACTAAAAGTTAACACCTCCAGGGAGGTAACCAGGAAGAGATGAACATTATAAGGTCAATTCATTATTATAGTAGTAAGAAGTTGTCAGTGTTTGGAGAGTCTCTGCTTCAGAGCAGGGCAGCTGTGTTCTGTTTTAGTTCAGCCCAAGGTCTTGGTGAGGCCTGTGCTGCTGAGTGCTATATGAACCTGATTGGAGTCAGAAGATTGAAAATAAAGTTTTAAAGAAGAAACCCAGCTGGATTCCTGTTTATTTGGACATACCATTTTGAACAACACATATTTTTCTTACACTCTGATTCAAGTTCATAACATAAGATTTTGTCTGAGTGCCGCAGTGTGAACCTGGTTTTAACCATCCATGTTTGGGTCTCCAGTCAGGACATCACTAATCAGTTAATAGGGAAACTTATCAGTAGAGATGACCGTGACCTCACCCTCAGCATTACTTCAGAATTTACTCCATCAGACTGCTAAAGAAAGCAAGACTCTGCTACCACCTCCTCACTCAGAGCATTCACTCAGATAGCATCACTGTCCAGTTTGGCAGCGCTGCTCATACAGAGAAAGGAGGCGGCTCTTCAGAAAGTCATCAAGACAGCAGAAAGGATCGTTGGAGTTGACCTGCCATCCATAGACCCCCTCTGCACACAACATTGTAGGAAAAAAGAAGCACAGAATCTCCTCAGAGGCACTCTCCACCCGGCTCATTCTCTGCTCAGGTGTAAACACTCCAAATGCAACCTGAGACACATCAGACCAGACTGTCGTCACACAAAGTATACCAGTTTCTTTCCATCTGCAGCCAGACTGATGGAAAAATACATGAACACAAAAACATGTTTACTCATTTATGATGCACAGTTTTTCTAAATGAAAAGCAGCTTGTTTTCTTTCTTTTATATCATGTACCTCGTGTGTATTATTTATACATTGAAAGAGATGAAATAGTTTGTGTATACTACTGCAGCTTAGTGCTTTTCTTAGTCTTTGCACTTTGTTACTAGGTCTCTTTTTTTATCCCACTTACATATAAATTTTCTTTGGACTCAGTGTGAGTGTACAAATAAATGCATATTATATAATAAATAACATGTCCAAAGTGTATCTGTTCATTCTCATGAAGCTTTGTAAACCTAAGCTGTTCCTCCATGTTATTTCTACAACAACAACAAAAAAAAAAATGAATAAAAAGAATAAAGTCCTAGTAGCTCTTCTGAACAAGTGATTCTTGATCTTTCTGTTCATGTTGTATTTTTCTGATCTACTGTATGGAGAGTTTGGACTCTGGTTGAACTTGCTGGGACACCCATTCCTGGGAAGACTGACACGTCTTGATTATTTTTCCTCTTGTGAATAATCTTTTTTTCTGTCAAATGATGGACTTCAAACATTTTAGAAATAGAATTAGCTTTGCCAAATACATTATTATTATTTTTATTATTATTATTGTTGTTGTTGTTGTTGTTGTTGTTGTTGTTGGTAGTAGTAGTAGTATTATTGTTGTTATTATTTTAAAGTTCTGAAAGTTCAAAATGCTACAGAACCCAAGTCTCCATTTTTGTATTTTTTTTTCAATGAGTATATTTTATTCCCAAATTATACCAGTGTGGTTATGATCAGCCACAATGTGTGGTTTGTTAAACATAATAAAATGTATTTGAATTTATTAACAACACAACTTCCAGACACTTGTCTTTGGGATCTAAAGACTTTTGTGCATCTCCTCCTCTTTTTTTATTGAATTTATTTGTACAAAGAGGACTTAAGTGTTTGCTCTTGATGCATATAGTTTGTCATTAAAACCAAATTGCTGCAAAACTGAATGCCACCATTATGGCCCCAGTTATAATGGCAGCTAATGAGCTTAATTACAGAGCTATACAAGTAAAATTCAGCCAGACGGTTCTGATGACTGGATGAATCTATAAATATTGTTTTTTCATCATCTTCTCCTTTACATCTTTCTATTTATTTTATGTTTTTTGTTTTCCCTCCCAGACAGGCTCTCAACAATCTGTAGTTCATTAAAAGCCCATTTCTGTATTACATAATCAGAATATTTATAGACGTGAACAATTCTTTCTATTCTGTTTGTCCACAGCACAAAGACCCCCAAGCAGGCGGTGTTTGCTGGAAGCATGCAGCTCCTGGCCGGCATCAAGCTGTGCACAGGCAGAGTTCTCACCAACCACCCACATTATGAAGATAAAGACCTGCGGGAGCGGACCAGACAGGTACTGCTGCCTGCACTCAGTGCAAATTACCAGAGTGGCTGTGAGATTCAACACAACACAGAGAAATGATCACATAGTCATTACTGGCTGTGGAGACGAGAGTTGGCTTTATAGGTGGAGGGACTGCAAACGGTGGTATGGAGAAGATTGATCAGACTAATTTAGTCTGGACTGCATGTATTCAATCAACTTGGTTGTAGAAAGTCGGTAAGTTTGAAGGCTGAAAGCTTCACAGGGCTCGTGAGTTTGTTTAGGACCTTTTCTAATCAAGGATCTTGTGCAAAATCAAAACAAAAAAAAAAAAAAAAAACAAGATTTAGACTGTTATTCTAAGGCAATGAGAAAATATTCTGAAACAGGATAGAGTTCATAGAGACATTGTCATTTCTCATCCCTATACTCAAAACTGTTTATACAACACTGAACAGGTCTGTTTTCTTCATTCAACCTTGACCCACTGATCATTGTTCAGTTCTTATTTTGTGCTAATTTTCTTTAGTTCATATGTTGAATGGAGTTTTGAAAAACAACTTACTCTGAGAGCAACAATACTCAAAAGCAGATCTGGGCAGTGAACGGTGATGAGTCTATAACTCCAGAGTCGGAATTAAGACTTTTCCAGAACTTGTTGCTGTTTTTTTTTCCCCCTTCAGAGGAATGTGTTGTGCAGCTGCAGGCTCGCTGGTTCACTCATCCATATCGCTCTGTGTGCTCTGCACTAATGTCTCATGTGATGGGCCAGGGAGCAGTCCGCAGATGTAAGGGCCCGCTCTGCTTTAGTGAATGGATATCGGATCAGGAGATGCAGCAAGTACAATGTGTATCCATTAAGTAGGAATCAATAAAACACAGGAAAAATGGAGTCTGAAAGTGCCGTGTTCCAGTAAAGCAGAGATGAATGAGACATCTCTGGTGCAGATCTGACTTTTTGTTATTTTCCACAACTGTTGCTTTAACAAGCCAAACACCTGAAAAAATTAGGTTTGCATTTTATTTGAATAAAACAGTAGTTTTGTGTGTATTTGTGTGTGTGTGTGTGTGTGTGTGTGTGTGTGTGTGTGTGTGTGTGTGTGTGTGTGTGTGTGTGTGTGTG